CCTTCCCTCTCTGGAAAAGAGCATTAAATAAATATTTCCAAAGTATAGCAGTCCTAGGAAGGCTTCTGTAGAGAAGGAAAGCAGCTTTAGGCGTCTCTTTTCCTCCGAGCACGTGTGCACAAACCATCCAACCTTTCACTTGTGTTGTCGTGTGTAGTTAGCCCAAAATAATTATTCCTGGATGAGAGGCAGCCCCTAATCTTCTCTGTTGAATACAGAGCATTAATATTCAGGAGTATGTCAAGTGGCTAGATCTTTCTTACAGCAATTTCCATCCTTTGTTGCCAAAGTCATAATTCTTCCTTCCTCTACCTGAAAAGTAATGGAAGGAAGAATTATGAAGATCCCATTTGTGCTGTAGATAAGTTAGCTCTAAATAAGCAAAACTAGATATGGGGGAAGAATACCCTTATTTACAGTGTTAAAGACTCAGTTCCTTCAGGCATGTGCGTAGATGATAATTTCAATTTTCAAATGAAATGCAGCTTTCATGTTTGCAGAGAAAATATTGAAAATGTATCCCCTGTTAATCTGAACATTCAGATGCAAATGTAAATGCTGAACATTTATTATTGTTTTTAACCTTACTATTTGCAAGGGCCTTACTCATTTTAAACATGGTAGCTTGCCAGTACTGCATTTAAAAAATAAGCAGAAGAGAATCAGAAAGCTGAAGTTTTTTATGTCTTATATGAACCAGAATACTTTTCTCAGATGCTCAAAGTAACTCACGCACACACACACAGGTACTCTTTTTTTTTTTTTTTGTCAAAACACAACATTCTGGTACAGAAGTTGAAAAATTAGATCAGAATCTTCTTACATGTTAAAATTCTTTAAATATCTCAGCAAAATAAAGAAATGTCAAAACTTGAAAACACAAGCCAAACAGCAGTCACGAGATACAGATATTCTGAAGAGCTAAGAGTCTCTTAATTTTTTCCTGGGAATTGGGCTTTATGATGTGCTTATTATGTATTACTCTAATAATTATCATTAAATGAGAGTTATATTGGCCTTTCAAGCATCTGAAATTCAGAAAATTCTTTTTTTCTCTCTTGTAGTCTTCCTTCACTCAGCACAGGATGTCCACAGACATCTGCAATTTATTCCCAAACATACGGGAGACCTGAGTTGGTAGTGATTAAGTTCTGTGGATTTTTTTTTTCCCTCTCTCGCATTTGCTAAATATTGATTCTTTTTGATAAAAAGCATTAGCTTAATATCACTTTTCCACTGAATTAAGGTAATTTTACTAATTTAGAAATGTTTATACATTCTGTAAAAATTCTGCTTTTCCTGTCCATGGTCTATTCCAGTGGACAGAAATACATCAATTTTAATAAAACTTTATGACCTCTATTTTTGTATGTTCACCTGTTTCTTAACGAAATTTCATAGGAAATACATTAATGTCAGCTTACAAAGCTGTCATGAATTAGCTTCTTCCAGTCGGTGAGATCTGCTAGAATGTCAGCCCTGAAAGTGTGCCACAGAAGGTATAGGTTGGGGCAGATGACAAGAGGTAAAATTGAAAGGACAAGCCTTCATCATGGGAATCCATTTCGGAATGTTACAAGGAATTAAACAGAAATATTAGAGTGAAATAACACATTGAAGGCGAGGCTTCATAGGATAATTTTTTTCAACAGCAAGACAAAACCATTTAAAATGATTTTGTCCGTTTAGCCCAAAACAAATGTGAGACGATTGGCTTGTATTCTTGTATGCCTGGAGTAAAAACTGTTTATAAAAAGCACATCCTTCTGGAGAAAATCTGGGGTATTGTTCCATAAACCTGTTTGTTTCCGATGCATTCTTGTTGCTTTGCATTACTGAAGTGGTTTACAGACTGTTGCAAAAAACAATTGCTTCTGTTTGTTCCAGTGTAGTGAATGAAGATTTTTTTGTCCTTGTTTAGAAAAAGCTGATGGTCTGAGAATGGGCCTAGACTGCAAATCAGCCTGAAGCTTTTCTTTGTAACTAGGCTCTGGGAAGGATTAGCGGATGGCTGTGGAGTGACAGGTTATGGCAAGAGGGTACTGGGCTGGAAACTTCCATCACCTAATATCTACACCGATATGCAATTATTAAATGGTGACATGGTGATTTCTGATGTTTTTCAGATCCTGATTTTCACTGACGAGCTGTTGTGCAGTAGATAATGAGATCGATTCAGTATATGAACTTTCTCAGCTACCTGCCATTTGTTGGCATGAATCCAGCACTCCAGTCAAATCTTCCCCTTTATAAACAATCTGTGGTTCCTGTTCACTCCCCAAAAATGCTGAATGTCTTGAACCTCCCAAATGAATGCTGTAATGCCTGCTACCCCCACGCCATCCTCTAGCTTTCCATTTCTCTCCTATATTTAATCCAGCTTTTACTGTATGCTTTCCTGGCTGCTGTGTTTATTTTGCAGGGAAGAGCTCAATTGAATGGGATTGAGTTCAGTCTGGGCTCTAAACCTACATGCAGAGTTGTGAGTGTACTTACGTAGGTGAGGACAGAGATCTCGTCTGGCAAATTGTTGGCACTGCAATTTTTATGCTAAGTATATTTAATGTTAATTCTAGTTGGAATGAAGATTTCAATATCAACCACTTCGATTTCTGTTATACTCTGTAGATTTTAAAGAAAGTAGGGAATAATATTTTAAATTAATCATCCCTCCTGTTATTGACAGTGCTTTATGAGAGAATTTGTGAATTCATTTATTCATATCTTAAGAAATAAGTTTGGAGGAGGAAGACTTGGAAAAAAAGAAAATCTTGCAATGTAGTAGCACGGTATGTTCACACAGGTTCACACTACCTCCTAGTCATGAAGACAATTCAAAAGACTGGGGCTTGAAATCAGACTGTCATTTCTTCATATGGTAGCAGGACCTAATTTATTTTTTCCTCTATCAACATTTGTCTGCAATGTCCTGTTAAAAGTAGCTTTTCAATTGCCAACTGTTATTACATTCAGGCTATTTGTGCCAGCTTTTGAAAGAGTTGAATACAACATTTAGAGAAATGACATGGACAAAATAATGAATTAATAATGAAATAGAAGTACACAGTAACTCGGTAATTGGCATCAGATGTATTAATAAATCAGTTATTACCATGTATCAATGGACAAGATTTTAATAAGTATTTCAGCACTTAAGGAATCAGGCATTTACAAGATAGTGAAATTAACATCTGTATCCAGAAACAGTTCAATAATCTGATGAATATATTATATCTGGAAGCTTAATCTTATGAAAAGTAATAATAAGAATTTCACTTGAGCTTTTTTTTTTTTAAAAAGTGCTTCAAAATGCATTCATAATTGTAGGGGGAAAATCTAGTTACATGACATCTCGCTTTACTTAATAAATGCTTTTAAAAATCCTTTAATAAATCAGAGATTGTTTTCTCTTCATTTCAAAAACTCAGTCTTTGTCATCTTCTACCATGAAGCTGTCTCCCCACATTGTCAAGGCACATGTGTATGGTGTAATCATTCTCCTAATCTTCCCTGGTTGTAGTAGGATAGAACGTTTCGAAGTTTTTATCTCATTATTTGTAACATTACTCTGAGGAGCTGAAGGAAGTGGCTTGTCCTCTACTGCTGATCAGGAGAAGCAGAGAAGGTTGAAGCTGTATTTGGTTAAGGAAATGATCTTGCACCCTGAATGTATGGCCTAGAATAGGCTTGCAATTTGCACAGATGATTTTGTGAACAAAAAACCAGCTTCGTACCTGGACATGTGTGAGCAGGCGTAGAAGCAGAATAGAGGGAGTTACTGCGCGGTGAACCTGCCTGCCCTGCTGAAGCTGTGAAAGGGAGAGCAAAACAGCAACTCCAGCGTTACAGTAGTCTCAGCTGCAACGAGTGTGATCTGTTCCCTCTCCTCCCAGGAGAACGATGACGGGTTTCTACATCAATAACTTGATCACATCAATCAGAACTGAGTCAAAGTGGTTTTGGTTACTCTCAATGGAGAAGACTTTTGCCTAAAATGGAGCTAGTGGTGACAACCTCAGGAACAGGCAGGTCCAACTTGCTATGAAGAAGGACCAAGTCCCCTGAGAAGTTTTGGGCATAACTACTTTAACATCCTTCCTACAGTTAACAAGATATATATACTGATCCTTTGTAACATGTTTTTTCCCTCCTTACCTTTGGGTTTAACAGCTAGTGCAGGCAGACAAGAGGTGTATCAGCCAGTTGAACCGTGTGCTTTGGGAGAGATTAAATGGATGATCTGCCATGAACCAGGATGCGTAGGCTGTCTTAGAAACTGATGGCTATGGGGAAGGAGTGGGTTCTTAGAAGAGCTAGATATTGGGGAACACCTCAAATTACAAACTATGGTATTGTTTGGGTTACTAAATTTCCTCTCCTGAAACGCCTGCTGTCTCTGTAAGACACCAGCTGGACCGACACATCGTCATGCCGTTCTTCTTTTGCAGCGTATCAACACAGAAATGGATTTCTTTTCTCAGGAAATACCGAGCCCGTCGCTGGGCAGCAATGGGCAGTGACAGGTTAGAGGCCATCTCTCTGTGACAGCTGGAAATAAATTGTAGGGAGGTGCTCATCTTTTCCAGGCTGGAAAAACAAACAAACAAACAAAATCCCCAAGAAAAAGCACCTGGAGGTTAATGTGGGTCAGCTAGGGGATTCAGTGTATTTGGTGGTGTTTTGTAAGCTCTTTTGTTTCAGTAATGACAGGTACTGTCAATTACGATCCTGTTTGTTTCCTAGGCAGGTGAAATGAATACACCCGGCTTTCCTAGTTATAATAACCTAGGTGTTTGTGTGGATGGGATCTCTCTCTCTCCATCTTTTCCCTAAATATTTAACTACAAGTTACACTTTTGCCATTTTTTAATCATTTCATTAAGGAAGGATCTCAAATATTCTTTTAGGACCTGTTCTGGACAATTGCCTAGATTCAGTATTTTATGCGAATATTAACATATTGGTTGTTGTTTCTTGTCTGCATTTTTTTTCTTCTTCAGGAAAAGTTGGACATAGGGACAAGAAAAGAGGTGGATGGAATGGGTGCACCTGAAATAAAATATGGAGATTCAATATGCTTCATACAACATGTAGATACAGGCTTATGGCTCACGTACCAGTCTGCTGATGCAAAGTCTGTAAGAATGGGTTCTGTGCAGCGGAAGGTAAGGCTGTAAATAGGAACGCATTTCATTCAGTCACTGGCTGATAGGGTAGGGGGGGAGTGAAGGGAATTACAGGAGACAGTGAATTTCTGGGTTTCAAATATTTTAAGTGTGTCTTTGTTTTATTGTGAAAGGGTTGGGTTTTTTTTCAGTCACATAGTGAAAAGTTACGCAATGTACTGAATTCTTAAACTGAAAGCCAAGCAAAGTGCACGTTAGCTTGTAGACATTAACCCACAAACATTGATAAATTTGGATATACTTGATGTCAAACTAAAATATTAGTATTGGCTTGTAGAATACGCCAAAATTCCTTTCTTCAATGTGCTGTTGTTTGGTTTGAGGACGCTTTTGGTTCAAAGTCTTTTCTTTCCACATTGTGAGCGTATTACCTTTTGGACTGGAATGTTCAAGTCTTGAGCCCTGAGGGATTTCTTCTTTTAAAGTATAACCATGGCCAAGCAGAATGCTAACTCAGCATGATAAAGCAGGAAAAAGATTCTTTTACAACCTGACACAGCTTCCCAAAGCTACGTTTGTGTTAGAGTTTATTGTAAATGTATAACGTTGCAGGAAATTATTTCTCAGCAAGGAAAAAATGTTTTACCCTTCCTTTAAAAAACTAAACTAAAATGAAATGTGATGTTTATCCACAGTGTAGTATTTCCTGTGACTGTTTTACATGCCAAAACTACAAAGCTAGAGCAACGTCTGGTATACTTGGAAGGTCATGCATTGTAATTTTATGCGTGTGTGTGTGTATATGTATATATATAATTTGTCTGTATTATATAAGTGTATATGCATATACACGCATAGATTCTATAAAAATCATATATTTTGGAAACAGAGTTTATATACATGTAAAACTTTTTAGTGATTATAATACTAATACAAGTAACATTTATAATAATTGTAATAAATAATTCTAAAATAATTCAAAGATATATTATTGAAGAATTTAGTAATGTAAGTAATATAAACAGTTTGTGTGTCTGTGTATATGTGTATGTGCATATATGGGAAAAAAACATTTTTACTTAAAATAGTTTAATATATTTATGTAGATTGGATTGAATACCTTCAATGCCATGATAACTAAACGTGAAAAACTATAAGTTATCGGTAGCCACTCAAGGCATAGTCAGAAAAGAAGGCCAATAACATCCTTGGAAACCAGGACCAGTAAAGAATACCAATTTTGACCTTGTCTGTACTTTAGGGACCTGCTGCTGCTTAAAGGAACTATTTTTAAGGTTGACAAAAACAAACAACAAACAAAAACTCTTAGACTTCAGATTATTTTTTTTTTTTCAAAATAAAGTATATTGTTTTCAGAACCTGTGGCTTTGATATTATTATGGCACTGAACCTGCTGGCTCAGTACAAATGTGTACTTGGACACGAGGAAGTAAAGCATGGGACTATCTGGTTTTAATCAAATTATTTATTTTTGTATGTTATTTCATCATTTCCTAGCCTGCCTTACTATGTGAGTTTTCATACTTCTTATTTGTGAATAATGTTTCATTTACCTGTGACTGCTTTTTATTTTTGTATTACAGGCAATAATGCACCATGAAGGTCACATGGATGATGGTTTAACATTGTCCAGATCTCAGAATGAAGAATCCCGTACAGCACGTGTCATCCGCAGTACAGTCTTCCTTTTCAACAGGTTTATAAGGTGTGCTTTTAAAATGGTCTTTTCATCCCTTTTCTTTTTCTTCCTCTTTTATTGTATTCAAAGTGGCCATTAACAAAACAGTGAACAGTTTAGCCCTCAGAAAAAACAGATGAACGGTTCTGAAACCAGACTTTATGCCAATTCTTTATGTGTTATCAGCAGAGATGTGCCTTGAGAGGTAATGGTCAGTTTCTTTTCTCTATCTTCTAATATTACGTTATTGTTCAACCTTGATTTGAATGCATAAACGGACTGAAAATGCAAACAAACCATAACATAGAGATTTTTGCCTTGCCAAAATTTGCTCTAAGTCATGCGATGCATCATTTAGCTCTTTTCTAAGTATGGTTTTTAAAAGTGCTCTTCTTGAAACACCTGGAGGAAGGAGATAACTGTGTAACTACAAACTTGCACAAGACACAAATATACTGAAGAAGTTCATAGTCTCAAGAAAAAGCTTTTCTTAAGAGTATGAAATGACACCTTCTTTCTGCCCTCCCGTTACACTTTGCTTATTTGTTCCCTTGTAATGCTTCTTTTTTCTTTAATATTTTGCAACATATACAATGTTTTATTTTACAGTATTTTAGCCATTTAAAATGATTTATGCAATTTGCATTTATCTTCCTACTCCAAATGTCCTTCTAAATAACACTGGTAAAATGCTAATTCTCAAATGTTTGTGATTTCAGTAGCTGATGAAAAGCCCCTCTCATCAGTGCATCTGGCATTAGAAAAAGGATGTTAGGCAATAAGATTATACGGAGTGATAAGAATTTAATAGGAACTCATTTGTCACAAGAGAAGACAATGTGGGAGATGGCAACCTGAAGCAACCATGTCCTAAATCAGTGCACAGCCAAAGACATAGACACGTCAATTTGTTCAAAAACATTTACCCACGTACTTAACTAACAACAGAGAAAAACGCCTGTCTGGAGAATCACCTACTGTATGACATTTAAAATACAAAAGAAAAGCAAGTCCTAGGTCACTTTGTAAATAATACATTTTCTTAGAAACTTCTAAGAATGCCATAAAAGATAAGGACAGAGAAAGGCAATTTAATGATAAGGTTTCACAAATCAAGGTACTGCTAAATTACAGTGGAGATTTTTGTGGAGTGCACAGGGAGTCCAAGGTAGTGTTTAACAATTTAATTTTGGCAGAATGTTACTCCAAGAAGAAAAAGCTGAATTGGAGAAGATCAAAACTATTCTCATGTGTGCGCTCCAGTTCTTTCCCACGAAGTCAGTAGAAAAATTGCACTTCAGATAATGTACTCACAATAAAAATTGAGTTTTAAAGATAACTTTTGTAGCTATTTTTTCGAAACATTGCATTATTTGTTCTAAGAGTTTTCTGTTATTCAACAGTAAATAGTCCTACTGAATTCATAATGTTTCCTAAATTTAGAAGTTTTCCACCCGTAGTTTCATCTCACCATTTGAGATGAAAATACAGTGACATGCCAGTTAAAAAAATAAAAACCGAAACCAGAACAAAACCAAACCAACCAACCAACCAACAACCCTTTCTCCCTGCTCCCCCAAATACTTGTCACTGTTGCGTTAATCCAGCAAAAAGCAGAGTATAAAATGGGGCTTCTGCTCTATATCATGGCCTGGAGAGGAATCCTGGGAGCCCGCAGGGTGCTGTGCCGCTCGGGAGAGAGGACTACAGCCGTGGGTAGGGTTGCTGGAGACCTTTGGTGCCTCTAAGGAAAGAAAAGAGGGAGATGAGCCTGTGTGGAGATGGCGGGGCTCCTCTGTCTGCTGAAGCTCGGTGGTCTTTAGGTCAGCATAAATGGAGCACCGTTGAAAACAAAAAGGACTTCTTTGCTACATAGCTGGATTTTACTCAAAAATATGCTAGCAAAAAAAACCTTTTTATGATGGTGGAATTGAGAATGAGTCAAAAGAGAAATCATGAGTGTCAAATAAGCCCCCTGCTGCATCCCACCAGGGTGGTCCCTTCCCTTCAGGGCTGCTCCTCTCCCAGCCCTTCAAGGCCCTGGCTGGCTCCTGCAGAGTTTCAGGATCCTCTGGATCTTTCCCTCCTCCCTGAGGATGGGTGCCATGTTTGCAGGCCCTCAGCACCCCTGGTTTCTCTGGCCCTTCTGGCCCTTCCTGCTCCTTCCAGACGGTTCTGGTGAGCCTCAGGCAGCCCCCCTGCCTGGCCCTGGTCCACCACTGCCTTCCTGAGGGGAGCCGAGGAGGTGTGAGGGAAAGCCCTTGCCATGGCGCTGGTGACATCTCAGCTGCTACAGCCACCTTTCAAAAAAGATGAGGTTTAAATGGAGGAGAAAGGGTATATCAAGGGTCTGGAAAGCGCAGCACTGAGTTAAAATTAGTTGATGGCGTTTGTTGGGGATTCAGCTAAGCAAGGGGCAGGTGGATGAGAACAGTCTGCCCCCAACTTCCAGGAGATGATGGTCATAGACTACAGCAAGGCCAAGCTTCAGTTGCATATCAGGGAAACAGAAAGGCTAATGAAGGGCTGGGACAGAGTGTGTGGAAAAGCTGCGTCTTCCAGTGCTGAAGATGGCTTAAGAACAGGTTAGAGAGATTCTTGAGAGCCTATATGGACTAGCTGAGCCCGCTTTGGCACCGTAGGACTGGTTCTTTGATTTCTGTCCATTCCAGCCTCATGATGCTTTCAACAGGTTTACAATAACTTCTCTTCGTCTTTTGGTCTGCCTCTGATACTGCTAAATATGTAGGTAGAATATTAAAATGTGTTTTCTGGATTTCAAAAAAATTTAAGAGAAGCAACATTTTTGCTGCTTCCAGTTTATGTTTGGGAAGGGAGGGGTGGATCATTAAGAGGAGAATGGGGCAGACATAAATCATTTTTGAGAAGTTGCATAGCTGTCAGAAAATGCACTGAGCTTTGGCATCTAAAGAAACTTTGCTTTTGAACCAATAAAGTGTTTAAGAGATATTTTCCAATACTCATGAGACTGCATCTTCTTGTAGGGGCCTGGATGCTCTCAGCAAGAAAGCGAAGTCTTCCACTGTTGACTTGCCTATCGAGTCGGTCAGCCTGAGCCTGCAGGACTTGATTGGCTACTTTCACCCCCCTGATGAACATTTGGAGCATGAAAACAAACAAAACAGGCTCCGAGCGCTGAAGAATCGCCAGAACCTCTTCCAGGAAGAGGTATTTCTCTCAGTTTTACTCCTGATTTTTGACCATATTGTCTGCAAGTATTCTTTTGCACTGCCTGTACTGTTGGTGTGTAATCTGGAGTATCTTTGCAGTGGTTTTTTTTTTGTCCTGTAAGAGTCAAACTATTTGCTACATTTATAATCTGTTAGTTTTCCTATATATTTAAAGAAATACATTTAAAGTCTTATTTCCTTTTCCTTTTTTAAAAAAATTAGATATTAATATGACCTTGTGCCCTGAATTCTAACCATAATTTACTCCTTATGTGTGAATTAGTTTCTTCTGTTATAGTTTAATCTCTTGATGCAGAAGGCTGTTTTGGTTTAATAAGCATGCTTTAAATATTTTTAGTATTGTCTGTTATTTCTCTGGTAGTGATAGTTGCCTGTACTTAGTCAAATGCCTAAATGCCTTCCAGAATACAAACTTGCCTAAAATTATGTCTGGAATACTGTTTATTTTTTGTTTTATTTTGACCATCCTAAATGGTAAATTTTTATTATCACAGTCCAGGGAAACTTTTCTATAGGGATTGCTTGTTTGACTCCACTTGTCTGACTCCATATATACGTTCTTGTGTTTCGCATATCCTGCCTTTCATGTTTTGTTTTCTTAGATTTCTGAAAATCTTAGGTGTTTACACCTAAACAATACTTTTTTTTTTTTGTCTGACAATCTGAGCCTTTCCATTTTTAGGGTATGATCAACCTTGTTCTTGAATGTATTGATCGCTTGAATGTATACAGCAGTGCAGCTCATTTTGCAGATGTAGCTGGAAAGGAAGCTGGAGAAGCATGGAAATCTATTCTGAATTCTTTGTATGAATTACTAGGTAAGACATATTATGGGTTACTTGGATTGTGTTAGCTCAAAATAATACTCAGATGAAAAGAAACACGTACCTGCTTTAGTATAGAAGAATTTCCACTGTGTAGAAATTTAGCATACAACTTAAGCAAAATGTTTGCATTTCAAGGTCCTTGCGTGTGCTTAAGAATAAAATACACTGAAAACACTCAAATAATGTAATTTTTCTATTACTATTTATTACGATAAATAACATGTTTCTCACTTCGATTAAATGATTGTTTGCTTTTTCATATCATCATATGGCTGATGTATCTTGTATACTGCCCAAAAATGTGTGAACAAAATATATGTGAATAGGTCATTCCTGTGTTAAGGAGCCGTGACATTGTGGTCAGTTCTATAGAAGTCTATGATTTTTCACACATTTGGCTGCAGAACTGCAGCATAAATCTAAAGCTTCTATAACCAAACCCCCTCTTACTAGACGAGTGACTCCAGCATTATGCTAGTGTACAGTGTGCCGTGGAAAGGAACGCTCTTGTAGATGCAATGTATCATAATGGTCTTGTCCACCTCCACCTGCAGTCACTGAAAATCTCGTAATACCTTCTGTAGGTATCTAAGTGTTGGTTGGTGTCCTGGTCAAATTTCTATTTAGGTAGTAGCAATTAATTGCCTGATTTGTTTGCTCAGCAATTTGGATTGCACATGCTATTTGTGTTCTACTATGACTCGTTATATAGGGTTATTAATCCACCACTGTAGCTACAGGCATCTTCACTCCTGCTGAGTTCTTAATTGTCTACAAAAGGAAATTTTACTGCCTAAGAGACCGTTTTGTCAGTTCCTTGCTCCTCTGTCATCAGATTTTCTCGGTGCCATAAGTAAGCCTAGATAATAACATAAACATTGACCATAAGTGACGGAGGACACTGCCATTAAGCAGTCCTTTGTGCAGGCTGCATACGTGTGCCTGGGCCGCTTGCTTTCTGTGACACACCAGCTCTCCAACGTGAGGGCCTGCTTGCCTTGCAACTTGCACGTGTTTTTGTCCAAACTCAAAGTTTTGCCAAGTCCTCATGCAGGATTGTTCTCTTCCTTTCCAGTAAAACATAAAGCATTTTATATATCATTTATACTAAATCTCACTTGTGAAAAATTTGGTATTGGAAAAGTATACAAGTAGTGTTATGTTATACATCAATTCCATTAAAAACTCCACAACTGAATATTGAGTTTGTAAAATGAAGTGAGTCGAAGTGGTTAGGAGGTGCCCAGATGAATGTAACATGTATATTACTAATTGGCTCTCTGTGGGTATGCATTGCGAAATGAGATCACATACCAGTTTTTCTACAAGGCCCATTCCTTCCTTAGTGGTCGTTTATTATTGGTACTTAAAATACTTAGTTTTCTCTTTGCCACTCAGTGTGTGGCATTGAACCTTATTTATTGTGAGCCTTTTGAGTCATGTTTGGAAAACAAAGCTATTATCCTGGAGTTCTTTTGTGCCATTTATGATTAGTAATCTGAATAATTAGAACTGTTACTAAGTGTTCTGTTGGAAACTTCTGCAATAAGGCAAATAGAAGGTATTATTTCCGATTCACCAAGAAGAACAGATACAGGGACAAATTTAGGTAAAAAGATTCCATCAGTGCTAGTTCCCAAATTAAGAGCTGTGGGATCTGACCTTTTTTCAGAATATTCAGCGGTATTTCATGTGTGCAAGGCATACTGAAAACTTGCATTCCTCCAAATTCAGAGGCACAGAAAATGAAGTTTTAATGGCATGCCTCACTTCACATAAACTCTCCTTACTACCCAACAGCAAAGTGAGGCAACTGAGGCAGGAGTTCTGTATATAGTACTGTTACAAAGTTTTTCCATAGTCAGAGTAGGTTCATCATCTTGTGCTCCTGAGGGAGAAATTAATCTTGGGGGGGGGGGGGGGGGTGGGGAAGATAAGGATATCCAGCATATGGTGCACAGCCCTTGATAAAACCAGTGAGGTGCTTCTGTCTGGCCCACTACCTTTTCCGTCGGAGGAAATAGAAGTTGACGAAGTAAATATCCTTGGGACAACCAGAAGCCTTCTCCCACGATCTCTCAGAGCAAAGAACGAGGTAACTGGACGGTGGTTGCTCTCACCTAACCACCGGCCGTCAGGGTCAAAGGTGGTTCCTGGGGCTGTGATTCTGGCTGAGGAGCTGCTGAGATCTACCACCTCGATGTGGTTGAAGATCAGTGCATGATGCATATGCACAGGTTGGAAGGGTGACCAGAAGTGGCGTTTCCTAACATTAGACTGGTAGATTTTATGAACATTATAAGGTAATGCTAATGGTTTTGGTTTTGATTTCCATGGTTTCTATAGTTGTAAGCTAAATACTCCATTTATACACCTCTCTCCAGTTCCGTAACTTGCAGCGCCGTGACAGTGAGTCAGCATGCGGGTCAAAAGCAGGACTGAAACTTCAGATACATCAGGCTGCTTTGATTTCAACTAAGAGTAATTTGTAACAATGGTACGCTGTTGTCCTTTGTGTTGGTTGGGGGATGGCTGCTTGTCCAACCCTGAGATAAAAAGATCATCTAGAAGGAACGCTGGTAAAAATTTGACATCTTAATCTCTTTCAGCTCATACATGCCCACTAAGTAAAGTGAATCTGCTGTAGGCTTGTTTTTTTTTTTTTTTTTTAAAGGTGATTATTTCATGTATGCAAATGGTAGTTATTTGATTTATTAAGAATCAATTAAAGAAGTTGTGGCAGGAATTATAAACATTTAAAAGTATCTGGACTAAGTCCAGAGAGCTAATGTCTCAATGAAATAAGCTGATGACCTTTTAGAGTGTAGACGATGGAGTATAAATGTTTGCAGTTGGGTTATTCATAAATGTAGGGGAGTGTTGAAGTTTTGTAAGAGTTTAGTTTGTTCTATCTCTTGTTACATTAAGCACAGCTCAGACTGGAGGAAGTAGTGGCTTGATTGCTGCATCATTTCTCCAAGTCTGAAATTTCCAGTTGACAAGGCCAGAAAATTCATTCTGAAAGAGTCCACTTGTCCTGTACCAAGTTTTGCTTCTGTGGACTTGTTGTGAGGAGAACAGTGCGCAAGCTTTTGTTGACTTCCCAGTCTCCGTGCCCCTCCTGCCCCTTTACATTACTTCCCTAACTGCATTATCTTCTGGCGGCTAAAGCTTAAGAAACCAGGCTTTGATCTGGCTATAATGAATTTGTACGTTGCTCTGTTCTGAATAATGCCGGAGCTGTACGGTAATTGCATGGATGACAAATGGATATTGCTTGCTCAGTCTTGCTTCAACAAACAGTACTTTGTTTTTGAGTCTGCACATGAATAAAAGTAAACTGTGATGCTGGAATTCATGGCTTTTATCACGTCACTGACACTGTGGTACATTTCACTGTGACAAGAATGGAGTCATTTAGACTGTGAGTTGAGACTGGATACTATCGCATATAAAAATCATAGAATCATAGAATGGTTTGGGTCCTAAGAGGCCTTTAAAGATCATCTTAGTCCAACCACCCTCATCATAAAAAATTCCTTCCTTATATTCAATCTAAATCTACCCTCTCTCAATTTAAAATGATTGCCATATGTCTACTAAGGCATCCTTCCTTCCTCTGTTACAAATACAGGCAGTCACTCTGAACTTGTATTTTCTCCTTTTGTATCACCAAAGAATGCACAGGAGTATATGTAATGATGTGACTTTAATGTCTGACTTACCACATCCTATTTTTATTTTTTTAAAAATGGGATGCTAGTCTTGCTCAGAGTAGTGGGCAATAAAAGAAGCAACTGTTGGATGTTGGGTTTTGTTTTCAGTGTTAAGTGGCTGTGTGCCTCATTCAATGCACAACTTTAACCACTGAATACTAACCTTTCACAAACGTCTGCTGAGCTGCATTTATGAAACCATCTATGTCTTATTACTGTTAATGAAGTTAAGTTTATTGATGTCATGTTAAGCAATGAACTATTGCTGCCTTCATTTTATGTTCGTACCTGAAGCATAGTGGGATTACGTGGCTTGCCTATAACCAGTAAAAAAAGTCACTTACAGGAACAGGTGTTACTTAGTTCTCATCTGTGTCTTTTAACAAGATGCTCCTCCTCTTATGATTCCCAAGTATTTTCAAATAACTATGGTTATGGTTAATTAACTATGTAAGATTTCAGGGTATAGATTTTTTTATCATATAATATAGCAAGTGAAAGGTTGGTTGGTTTGTTTGTTTTGCTCGTTAGGGCTTGGGGTTTTTTTTGTTTGGTTTGGTTTTTTGTTTGGAGGTTTTTGTTGTTTGTTTGGGGTTTTTTTTGGCTATGAAGCAATTGGATTGTGATCTCTTTCCTTATGATACAGATTTGTCAGTGCAGTGACTTGTTTGCAACTAACTCCAAGATTGCTTTTCCCCTTTTCAGATACTATTTCATATCATATTTATGTCACATGTCTGTAAGTTTAACCTTTTATAAATGAAACAACATAAAACCACAGTTGCAATATAATACAGTGAATTTCTGCAGCAATAAACCACAAATTTTTAAGAGGCTGTTGCCACTTAGCATGACCAACAGTCTCTGCTACTGAAAATAACTATAGAAATTTCAGGTTGAAATAATTTGTTGGCAGAATTGGAAAACAATCTTAAGAAAAGCAGTTTGCACTGTTCCACACACCAAACAGAAACGTTAGTGCTTCACTCTTTTTTTGGGGTAGAACAGATGCTTCTCTGAGAGCTCGTACATGTGCACATACATGCAAACGCACGCATTCCAGGCCAGGCCAGGCTTCTGGGTGCCTGCAGTGCTCGGTGAGATTTCTGGGCAGATATACCCACCAAGTCAGTGCATGCATTCTGTCTACTTCAATCTTCAGCTTAAAGCACGAGGCTGAAACAGTTCCAAACCAGTTACTTCCTCCCTACGACCATGTCAAAAGTATGACAAACAGTTCTTGGACATCTATCTTGTTTTAGTTCCTATGATTCTTGAACAAAGGTATTGTATCAATAGAAAATAATTTACATTCGTCATCTATGTTACTGGCTTCACATTCTGATTTTCCAGTGTTTCCTGTCATTACAAGAATACTGTTTTACAGAAATTTGTTTTTACGGTAGCAGCTGACTTTTGTGGTGTCAGTGCTGGTTACTTCATGTAGAGCATTTTTCAGAGATTATTGAGGTGATTGTGAAGCCAAAATAATTCAAATACCTTAAAGGTCAATTTAATGCCAAAGGTATTACTTATGCTTCAATCTAACGATCACTCACGTTACTTAAATTTAAATCAAAACCATTAATAAATATTAAGAATCTATCTTTACTGGATCCCTCTGGCAAGACAAGACAGGGATTCTTTTAATTTAAATGGATTTATAATTGTGGTTTAATTTTTTTTCTCTCTTTTTTTCCAATAGCGGCTCTGATTCGAGGGAATCGTAAAAACTGTGCTCAATTTTCTGGATCTCTTGATTGGCTGATCAGCAGATTAGAAAGACTGGAAGCCTCTTCTGGTATGCTTTTTAGTATTTCAACTTCCTTATTTGACCAGTTTTTCATTCTTTAAAACTAGCAATACACTGTTCAGTCTAATTATCATAAAGTTCTTGCTATGAGAACTAGTTCTTGCTATAAATTATATTAATAAAGTGAGATTTATATTTGTAACATTTTTACATGTTGATCTCAGTTGTAGTTCTGGCAGTCTTTCCTTTTCCTTGACCAATTGGTTGTAATGTTACCTTTTAATTTGGGCAAACAAACCATTTGGTGAAACAGTTGTTCTACAGATTCAGTTGTGTTAAGTTGCTTTCTCTCTAATTCTAGTACCTTCCCTTCCCTTTTCTTTGGAAGTCTGCATGTTTTTCAGGATTTGTGTCAAACAAAATGTAATAATAACCGTATGGAATGGATGTAATTTGTCTCTTGTTGAAGGACTGTAGTGGTAATATAGGGAAGCTCATGTATTCTACTTGAGTGTGTGTAACAGCTGGGTCTTCAGAAAATACCTATACGTTTGCATGTAACAGTGTTACCTCTGTAATACCTACACATTCCCTTTTTAATCACCTCTCTCACTCCCGAGGTCTGAATTTCTGTTCGAAGTTAACAGGCCTGAAACACCTTTATGATTTGAGAATCTGGGAATTCTGTCTCACTTTAGACACAAATTCTTTAAGTTAGCTTATTTATTTTCTTTGTTGTTACCTAATGACTTACCTTCCTCCTGAACCACTATGTTAACCCCTTAGTGTCTATGAGACGCAATTAGTCTCTGTGTTGCTCAAAGTGAAAGTAAATAAAGTTATGCTGAGCTCTACTGTACTTCTCACTGAAATGCTCATCCTGGACTTTGTTTCCTTGGATGCAATCTGTTCTCCATAAACCTACTCTGCTAACCAAATACATTGTATTTTAAAGTTTCCAATGGATTTTTTAAAAAAAATATTGCAACTAAACTTCATCAAAAAAACTCTTTGGACTATATTGGAAAAATACACTTTTTGAGCAGAAGAAGAAATAAGTAGTGTGAACACTGCACATTAGGTGAATGTAAATAATATCTTAAGAATTTCTCTTGTGTACTTCTTTACTGTCTTAAACGTAGTTATTAGCATGACTGTAGTCTGTAACAGGACCTTAAAGGTCATTATCTGGATTACTACATTTGGCGTGTGCTTTTTAAAAAAAAAAAAAAGTCTTCAATACTTCCTAGAATAATTATTTTGTGTTTTTTTAAACAATACTACTCTATTTTCTTTAAAAGTAGATGTTTGAAACATGCCAATGTAGTTTGATGTTGTAAACAGATGGTAGACAAGTCTCATTGCACTAAAGAACCTCTGCTAAATCTATCTCAAAGTTACTGAAGAGATGCTAGGACTGTGTTTATGCAATTAATAGTGTTGATTTCATGGCTGATACTTGAGTCTCTTGCCCCATTTTACTGATATATATATACAACCTTTTTTTCTTACATGAAGATTTAATTAGTGTTCTTTTCACCATAAAAATATTCCAGAATGTTGTCATCGAGGCATCTGAACAGTAGACAGTAATCAAACTTGGACCCAGCAGCTAACAAATGAGATGCAAATAGAGTGATTAGTTCTGGACTCCAAAGACTGATTTTTTGACTCTTTTCAAGCATGCTTTTCATGATGGTGATTACTTAAAGATCAAAACCCAAAGTAATACTGTCGTACTGTTGGTAAGAAATGTCACTGCAGCCTGATTTACACCCCCTCTTCATTTTTCAAGTTTAGTAAAAGTATTTATTGGAATTAAAAAAATACGCGTAGCGTAAGGCCAGTGTTCTAAATTTTATTCTTACCAATGTAATACTACTTGGAGTTCTATAGGTTACAGCAGTAACTGAGAACATGGATCTAACAGGGTGAGATCTTTTAATATCTGATTTGCCAATTAAGTGATTCATAGGAGATGAGAATAAAGAAATTATGAAAAAGGTCAAATAAGAAAAATGTTTACAGCTCCTTACAGAAAGCTCTATTTCTCATGTGCACTAGACAGAAAAGTTAAATACCAAGCAGGAGCTCCAAGTCTAAATTAAGCTCTTATACCTGATAAGGAATTTGCCTTGCAAATTATTCTGCCCTGTAACTAAAAGTGAAGAGAGAAATATAGAAATATATATAATACAGATTGGATGAGTTGTGCATGTAATGCTTGGTAATGTTAACATATGAAATAATAATGCAGTGAAAGCCATTTTGGTTTGAGACCTTTCAACTTTTTACATAGGTCATTAACTTAATCTAGATGCATTTTTATTTTTTTTTGCAATTACACAAATCTTAAGTTGCACTACTAGGAGAAACCACTAAATGTTTGTAAGAAATGTATTTGGAATATACCTTCTGATATAGAAGTTGAGAAAATTGTATGTTTTAAGTCAATAATAAATAAAAAATAATCCTGTGAAGAGAAGAATTGTAAACAACCAAAAAACTAAAGACAATTTTGTAATGCTTGTGCTACCACAGGCAATCTCAATTTCAATAGTTTGTTTCTTTTTTTAATAAATGTTAATGTTAATGTACTTCTATTTTATATTTTTTCTTTGTAATTTGACTATAAGAACATTGCAGTATAAATATTTGTGATGTCCTGTTTAATTTGTATTAATCTTCAATGCTCAGAATTCTAGTCCAGCCAATTTAATAAATCCCTTCTATTAAATGTAATAATAGTTTTACTGTAGTACCAGCTCGAGATTTGTCTTAACCTGTCTCTTTTTTTTTTACTGCCTAGTTCTAGCTGCTGTAATTGATATCCCTTGTCTGATATTCTTTGAACTTCTGTTTCTGGTTCACGTTTATCTTTCCGCAGTAAGTGTAGATATCATGGTGGATTTCAGGAGCTGATTATTAATAGCACATGGAAGGTATTTTGAATCCACTGCAGGAAGAGCAACAGAATTGAAAAATAATCAATGTGTAGTGATGGCTGTGTTCAAAATTTTTACTGTCTTTTTTTTCATCACTTTGTACGTCATGTGTGCTTTGCTTTGTCATTACTATTAATACATATAATTTCCCCTCCCTCCCCTCTTCTGTTCTCTGCTCTCACCCAGCTGGAGCCATTTCAGAGTTACACGCTAAGAAATGTTTTTCAGTTGCAGTTGTGACTGTTTTGCGTTATGTATAACATTCGTTACTGTTTTGTTGGAAGATGGCCTCTTGAGAGTCTTTCAAGCCTTATTTTCTGTAATTACGCTACGCTAAGTTCACAAGGCAGGAAGGTTTGTAGTCAGACTAATGGGCAGGATAGTTACAACAACAGTGAGAACAATGTAACACACCTTTCTGGTTATGTACTTGTAGTTTATTCCAATCATCTTGTTATTTTAGCGCTGTGTGTGATTTCATGAGCTGGATGGAACATAATAATTTTCTTTTCAGTAATAATTTTTCATTGATTACAGAGTTGTCCTCGGGAATTAAAATTTCCTTCCCCATCCTGTTCTTCCCACTCCTGAATCATACTTCTGCCACAGATAGATGTGTCCTTGGATTCACTGACATCTTAAGGGAGGAATGCCAGGAAAGGAAGATGTCCCCCATTGTAAAAGTTCTTTGGTTTATATTAGACTACAAGACATTTGAAAAGAAATGTCACAGGCATAGCTCAGTGATTCTCATCAGCCTTTTACCGTGACATTAACACATGAGAAAAACTCCTGCTATTGCTGAGTATCCCAAGTAAAACTGGGAGTTGTCTCAGCCGCAGATCACCGTCTGGCATGTATTACCAAATTTCTTACCTCAGTAGCCTTCAAAGGATCAGCAGCAGCCACGAGAACGGATGTGTCTTATAGTCGACAAGGCCAGTAAGGTGTTTGTGTTCCCCTCAGCTTTATCATTAAACATTCATGTGTAATTTGTTTATTTGCCATAAATCTGTTCCTGACATGAGCTGACCAACAGCATGGGAAGACACTGTCAAATGTCGGTGGCAGGGGTGTTCTCCCTCTCAGAGCCAAGGGGGAACGGCCGTGGCATTCCCTGGCTGAATGGCAAGACCCGCAGTGGGTGCTTGCGGTTGCGAAGAGCAGTTATACATTGATGCTTCGCCTCTTGGAAGTTTTTTCCTTTGTCAACTCTTGAGGCAAGCAGAGAGTTTAAAAGTCAGTTATTCTTCTCTTGGGGTGGAGGCCGCTATAGAGAATTTGAAGTGTTTGCCCGTGTAAGCCCCTCTAGTCAGCAATGTTTCATAGAAGTATTTTCGCAGAAATTCTTTTCGTGATTTGCTGCGGAACTATGGCTTTAGGGTGGGGGACCTGGTTTGCTCTGCTCTGACTTCTTGCGCCTGGCACGCACCTGATCGGGTTTTGTAGTTCGGTTATGCTCTGAATCCTTGAGCCGCTCAAGATATGAGGCAACAGGAACATAGGAGGCTAAATCTGCAT